AAAAAAAAAAAAAAAAAAGTAGTTCCACATATTGTCCACAAGTAGTCAAATTAAAATCCAGTTGATTAACAGTACAATGCTACTTTCGTAATAACTTTAAAAAATGATCAAAATATGGGTATTTTTTGGCCCGTGAAAATAACAGGACAAAAATACAACTTCCGATAAAAATGACACGTCATTCTAATGTTATCGAATTAATTTCCATATTTCATATGACGTGAGTTGATTAGTTAGTATTAGTTATTATGTAATAAAATAAATAAAATCATCATGATTAATTGATTAATGAAATAATATAACGTTTCTTTCTATAATTGGCTTAAAAAAATGAACGAGAAAATTATATTTGTATTAAATTTTTAACCCATTATAACTATATAATTAAAAGTCATGTTGATGTGATGAGTCAGAATAACATATAACAGATTAATGTGTCACGTCCAACTACACGTGGAATTCGGAATAAATCAATTAGAAAATATAGAAATAATATTGATCTACTACATTTCAATTGAACTATTTTGAACAATTTTATAATTGAGGTCATCTTTTAAAATTTTCTCGCAATAATTCATCCTTTTGACAACTTTTCTCATATGTTGTGTAATATATTAGGACTTCTCATAATCCTAGCAATGATGTTTCCGCGTATTAATGCAATAATATATCCTTTTTGACAACTTTTATCATGCGTTTTATAATTAAATATTGAAAACGGTGATTTTACAATAAAACCATTCAGCTAAAATAAACGGCTGTAATGTAAGGGGAAAGAAAAAGCATTTGACTAAATTAATCAGTCACCATAGCTTAAAAAAAAAAATACTAGTATTACTCTAGCTCAAAAGCGCGGGAAGAACATTGTTCTGGAAGTTTCTGGAAAGAACGGTGTAAGCAGCTTGGGTCGGGTGAGCCGCGTCCCAGAATATATACTTCGACGGGTCCCGACACGTGTGCACAAGCTCATTGCAAAGTGGGCCCATTTCGATTGACCCAACCCCGCAGCACCCATCAAGCGTCCTCTCGAACCCTACACAAAATAATTAAAAGAAAAAATATTTTTTTAATTATTGATAACCTCAATATAAATTTCGTTTATTCAAAATTTAATACTATAAACTAAGAATATTTGGAATAATAAAATAACATAAAATAAAATAACGAGAAGTTCCTCACCATATGCAGCGGGACTATTGATCATGTCCATAATGGGATTGTAAATGTCCACGTACGCAATCCTCGAGCCCGGCAGCGTTTGGCCCAAACGGGATAACATCCCCTGGAGCTTGGTGTTGTAGGCCTGCGAGTCCGAATTCTGCTTGTCCACACACACGCGCTTGAACATGTGCGGGCTGGGCGACAAGCTGCCGACCATCACCTGCACCGGCAGGCAACCCACCGGCGGCAGCCCGATCACCGCCACACGTCTCGCTCCCATGCCATGCAATCTCTGAACGTAAAATTCAACAATTGGATTTCAGTAATTAATTAGTGACTAATCCAATTGGGAATTCAATAGTTCGTGCCATATATCCTATAGATCATAACATTAGAATAATTTGATCCAAAACAAAAATTAAAAAATACCGTTATAGCATTTTTGAGATTTGTCAGCAGCAAATCCTGGTAACAGGACACGGTCATGCCTCTCCTCACCGGCAGCAAGTAGAAGTTGTACAACATGTCGTTTGTCCCGGCGCCCACCACAAAGACTGCATTCCCCACGACCCGGCCCGCCTCCTCCCGGCCCACAGCACTCGTCATCCGGCCCAAGGCCTGCTTGAAGTACCCAAGCTGAGCATTCATGGTCAACACGTGGGCCTCAGCCGCCGTCAGGTCGTCCAAGCCCATGCCAGCCGAGGCAAAGCTGGCGCCTGTTAGCAGGCCCGAATCATTTAGGGCCGGGTCCAGGTAGGCCGGTAGCAGATCCTTGATGCCTAGGTGGTCCACGATGAGGTCCATGGGGAGTTTCCCGTCGGAAAATCTGCCGGTGGGAATACGGCCCGGGAAGTCGAGGCCGTAGGGCAGGTGGTTTGATCGGAATACCGTGGGGATATGGTTGTTGTTGCCTGGGTCGAGTATGGAGTCTCCGAAAGCAAAGACGGCAGTTATGTTCGGGCTGGCCGAGGTCAGGCCAGGCTGGAGAAGACGGGTTGCTGTGAGGGAGATGATTGTGAGGAGGTGGATATAGTAGTTTTTGAAGGCCATTGTTTTTTGTTTATAATAATTTTTGTGTGAGATTGGTACGAATTATGTGAATGTACGAGGGGTATATATGTATATATGATTGTGTTTAGTGTGGCTATATGTGTGTGTGTGTGAGTTTGAGGTGTAATTGGTTTTGATTTTTACTTTTGTATACTAGGATTCGTACAATATTTAAATAAAAGTTAAATGGGATTCGGTGAGCGTGTTGAGTTTGGTTGAGCTAACTATTTGGCACTATAATGATATAATCATACTTTATAACAGCATTGGAAGAGCCATGGAAGAGCAAGTGCAAGTCCAACAGGGAGTTGAGACGAGGGCCGGCCGCTTCGTGGAACGAGTAAGCCCCAACTTTAAATTGGGCCTGACGGGAATCTTGAAGAGTAGCCCAATTCTGTTGGACAAAGTGTTGGGCCTTTTTGCCATATAAGACCATTGTTTCTTAGTCTTCATTGGGGGAGACCGCGCAAGCCCTGCTTTAAGATGGCTCTTTCCACTCGCAAATAGGCGAGTCATGGCCAGACCAAAAAAAAAAAAAGCCCAATAGTTCCGGCCCATGAATAAACTCCCGCTAGCGTACTTACTTAATTAATTAATAGAGGAGAGGGATAGAATTGTAATTACAGTGAAAAAATGGTGTGTTGTAGACCAAAGACCAATTTTAGTCAAGCAACTGTTTGTTCCTTCACTGAGTAACAACAACACAAGCTTCCAAAAAAGGCCCTGCCAAAGATCAACCCAATGCCAGTGCCATTGTGTGGTGGGCCCCCATTGATTTCATATCATAATGTGGGCCGGGCTGCATATGTATAATTGGCGAGGGAAAAACACTCCGTATTGCGTCATGTCTAGGGAAATTTTGGGAGAGCACGATTTATTAAAATATGTCTTACAGTTCTTGTCTAATTGCTCAAAATCATAGATGAAAATGTTACATAATAATTGTATGTATTTAAATAAAAAAATGTATAAAATAAAGGTCCAATGCGAGATTGTATTTAGAATTACACAAATCATGTTGTTGGATAACCGTTAGATAATTATACATTTTTTTAAAAAAATATATATATATATATATTTATACTATCACATGTCATATTTTGTATTTCTATTTTATTTTAGAGAATGACAATTAATTATTAAATTGTGTGTTATCTAATAAAAAATATGATTGTAATAGACATGGCCACGGGCGGCCCGGCCCGTGACCCGGTACCGGCATGAATAGTGCCGGGTTCGAGAATCCGACCGCGGCCAATCCGGTCTGGTTAAGGGTCACGGTTTTTTTTTTCCGGCGGGCCGGGCCGGGCCGGGCCAATTTTTTTGCTTTTTTTAAGGGCCGTACCGGCCCGTGAACCGGCGGTTCGGGCCGGTTCTATGAACCGGCCCTTCGTTCCTAGCGAGCCGGTCGCGGTTCAGCTGTTTGAGGGCCCGTGGCCCGGCCCGGGTTACACAAAGGTTACCCTCATTTTCGGGTCGGTAAACCCGAGATGGTTGGGTTTCGGGTGGGGCTCGGGTAGCATTATGCTACCCGAACCCCGGGTCGATTCGGGTGCGGGTATATTAGGAAAATTCATTACCCTACCCGTTTATCCAGGGGCGGATCTAGCTCGTAAAATGAGTGAGGGCCTTATTATTTTAACAAAAGTATAAATGGAAAGGCATACATCATATAATTATTTTTATGAATTTTCATGGTATGGTATCGCTCTAAAATAACATAGTAGAATTTTTTATTTTTTAGTTTTTGGCTCAACAATTTTAGGATTCACCTCAAGTACAGTTAGCCTAAAAGTAACTAATATTGAGATATTTTCACATGATTTTTTTTTTCTAGCCACTTTATAAGAATATTTCTCCATGAGTTGATACAAAAAATTAATTATATTGTATAAAATTCTGTATATAATATATCAAGCTTTAAGAGTCCTACAATTTATATTTTTTTCAAATTAGTTTTTTAGATAATTAAGAAACAACAACCAGTTAGCTAATAAGAATGCTAAAAAAGATGAATAAATGTTTTTTTTCTTTCAAACCTAATAAAAAGAATTGATGGATATAATTTCACCAAAATAAATAATTCATTCCTCATTTTTTTCTATTTCTATTTTTCTTCTTTATGCTTAGTAGGATACTGTTTTTAATTTTTCTTCTTTATTAATGAAGTATTAAGCCATTTTTTAAAAGAGGCCTTAATGGATACTAAGTTGTAAAAAATTTCTTTCCACTGTGGGCCTAGGCCCACACTGGTTCCCATTTAGATACGCCCATGCGTTTACCTGCAACCATTTAATCTTATATATACACATATATATTATATATTTATCACACAGTATAAATATAAAAGTAGTCATGTGTTATTTTAAAAAATTAGATTATCTATTATATTTTTTTATTAATGGTTCATTTTATTTTGCTTTTTACGATTTTATTATCATTTTTTTGTTAATTGTACAATAAAAGTATACTTTTAAATGTTATATTGTTAATAGACTATAAATGATAAATAATTATATCTCATTATTTATTCCAAAAATAGTATATTTTTTATAGTTTTTTTATTGTCAAACTTAATTAATAGATTATTTGTTACATTATAATTAATTGTAAAATTATTTCATTTTATTTTTTCATATAAAACGAGATGGGTCGGGTAAAGCCCAAATTTAAGACTTGGTTTACCCGTTTACCCAACGAAAACCCACTAACCATCGGATAAAACCCAACCCGAACCCGTAGACCGCTAACCGAATAATGGGTTGGGTTTGTGTAGGGTAAATTATATGCGGGTCGGGTTCAGTTTACAAAAACCCGTATCTGATCCGACCCAATTTACATCTCTATTGTAGCTTAATCCAAATCTCCAAAATTACATAATAGACTTATGTTTATTACTTGACCTACAACACTTTAGTTCTTTTTTATTTTCCTTTTTCTTTTTTTTTTTTAAAAAAAAAAAAAAAAAAAGACAAGCAATGTGTAATTTTTTATGCACAAGGTAATTCATATTTTCAAAGTACAATATTAGGTAATTTTGTTATGATCACCATAATAAGTACTATAAAATAATAGGTAACGTTTGTTACATAAATGTATATGTATGCAACAACGACGCCCAAATTGTGAATAATTTATAAAAAAAATCCTGACAATTTATGAACAATGAGAGGCAAAATTAAATAGTAATTATATTTGATTTCAAGATTAAAAAAAAAATAAAAAAAATCCATGTTACATATTTCAAAAGAAATAAAAAATAATAAAAAAAAATTATGCTAGTTTGTTAGTGGTGGCGTGGTGGCCTCCGTTATTTGTTGGAGGGAAAAAGACAAATGATATTATACACAGCAAACACTTCATATATACTGACTTCAAAATTCAAGTGGGGTGTTTTGCAACAGCATTTTCTTCTTTTTCTTCACTTTTTTTTTTCCTCCCCCGTCTTGTTGAAGTGACTAGTTTTTTTTTTTTTTTTTGGTACAAGGACTTTCCGATTTCTGGATCCACAGGGGAACCGACTAATCCAGAATCGAGCCGGGTAGGACCACAAGGGCGGCGAAGCTCTCCCTCAAGAGTTTTAACACTGCTGCATTCTCAGGCCTCGAACACGAGACCACTAATTAAGCTGAAAGAGACTCAAGTCATCTCATCCAAGCGCTCTTGGGTTTGAAATGACTATTTTTCCCGTTCCGTTTTAGCTTACATTTTTTATTTTTCTAAAAATGTTACTATTTATTTAAATATTTTCTTGTTCCTTTTCACTTGTTTTCTGCTGAAAGTAGTATCTCACTTTTGCACTAATTAGCAACGAA